TACATTTGGTTTTTCTTGCCTAAATGTAGAACCTTACTTTTTTCACCATTGAATTTCATTTTGTTAGATAGTGCCCAGTGTTCAAGTCTGTCCAGATCCTTCTGTATCTTAAGCCTGTCTTCTGGAGTGTTGGCTATTCCTGCCAGCTTGGTGTCGTCTGCAAATTTGATGAGTTCCCCATCTATCCCCTCGTCCAGATCATTGATGAAGATGTTGAAGAGCACTGGGCCCAGAACAGAGCCCTGAGGCACCCCACTACACACTTCCCTCCATGTAGATGCGGTTCCATTGAGGACCACACGCTGAGTACGGCCAGTCAGCCAGCTACGGATCCATCTGGTGGTGATGCTGTCTAACCCACATTTTTCTATCTTATCAAGTAGTAGGTTGTAATCTACTTTGTCAAATGCCTTACTGATGAGAAGCGAAATGTCTTCAAACAGAAAAACAACAACAAGAAAGTCCAGTTGCCTGGTGAAAAAACATCTTTGAGATAAGTTAGCAATGGCAAATCTGGTCCCAGTTGCTGTCGTAACCTAAGGACTGCCTCCGCTCCAGTCAAAGCAAAGCCTCCGCTCCACTTTTCAATACTCACTTCAGTCTGATCGCATCTTCACCCACCGGATCCCTCCGACAGCGACGACGCTTCTTGCCTTGGCGTGGTGCAAATCCTGGCGGGAGCCAAAGAGATCCGTGCTCCCGATGCTGAGCTCGACGGATCCTCCACACCCCGATAAAGATCGCCAGAGCCAGCACGAGCGCCCCAACACCCACGCAATAAATGAGGGGCCCGGAAAAACGGGAGATGGAGGCCTCCGGATCTGGTTGAGGAAAAAGGAAGACTGTCAAACGTCCGTCTCGTGCTCTTCCCTGCTGCCTCCGTTTTTGAACCCATCTACACTACCGTCTTTAGACCAGTTTCATATCCGTTCAAAGCTTCTCCTTCTCAAGCCAAGAATTTGGGTTTGATGGACAGGCTGAGAATTCCTTGTCAAATTTCCTCATTGAACTTCCACACATAATGAAACACGTGTACAGATAGTCCTCAGGTAACAACCTTAATGGAACATCCCTGTCGTGGTCCTAAGTCATAATGGTCATAAAGTGGGGTCAGCCGAAGTGATGGGCGACAGTTTTGTCTAGTGGTTAAGGCACCAGACTAGAAAGCAGAAGGCCGTGAGTTCAAGTCCTGCCTTAGCCATGAAAGCCAGCTGGGTGACTCTGGGCCAGTCCCTCTCTCTCAGCCTAATCTACCTCACAGGGTTGTTGTTGTGGGGAAAATAGGAGGAGAAAGGTGTGTTGGATATGTGCACAGCCTTGAGTTAATTGTGTTACTCTTTATTCTTTTATTTTTTATTGGCCAAGTGTGATTGGACACACACATAAGCTCTCAGTGTGCATACAACAACAAGTGATAAATTATGGTCATAGTCATAAAATACAATCATCATAAATCATAAGATACAACACTCAGTGATAGTCATAGATTAGGGGTCTTCAAACTTGGCCCTTTTATGACTTGTGGACTTCAACTCCCAGAATTCCTCAGCCAAGCAAGTTTGAAGACCCCTGACTTACAACAATTCATCATTTAGTGGCCTTTTGAAGTTACAACTGCATTGAGAAAAAAGTGATTTATGCCCTTTTTTTCGCACTTATGACCATTGCAGCATCCCCATGGTCACGTGACTAAAATTCAGACGCTTGGCAACTGACTCATATTTATGACAGTCACAGTGTCCCATGGGGTCATGTGTTCCCCTTTTGTGACCTTCTGATGAGCAAAGTCAATGGAGGAAGCCAGATTCACTTAACAACTGTATGATTCACTTAACAACTGCAGCAATTCACTTAACAACTGTTGCAAGAAGGGTCGTAAAATGGGGCAAAATTCACTTCACAAACGTCTCAGCAACAGAAATTTTGAACTCAATTGTACACTTAAATCGAGGACTACCTGCACACAAGGGTGGGAGAGGAGTGTGCAGGAGACACTGTGTGTGTTGGGGAGGAGAAATGCCACATCTTTTCTTTCTTTCTCTCTCTCTCTCTCTCTCTCTCTCTCTCTCTCTCTCTCTCTCTCTCTCTCTCTCACACACACACACACACACACACACACACAAACACACACACACTTTCTCTATCTCTCTCTATCTTTCTATTTCTTTCTCTATCTTTCTCTCTATCTCTAACTCTCTCTTTATCTTTTTCTCTATATCTTTCTGTCTCTATCTCTATCTCTCTATCTTTCTCTCTCTCTCTCTCTCTCTCTCTCTCTCTCTCTCTCTCTCTCTATCTATCTATCTATCTATCTATCTATCTATCTCTTTCTCTCTCTTTCTATCTCTAACTCTCTCTCTCTATCTCTTTCTCTCTCTCTAACTCTCTATCTATCTATCTATATCTCTATCTATCTATCTATCTCTATCTCACTGGTTCCCAACCTTTTCTATACCCCGCACCCCTAGAACACCTCTGATATATTCCCGCACTCCTTACAAAAGTTCGAAATAACAGCAACAAATTATGCATATGCACTATAATTTTGAAAACCCAAGTTTTCGCGCCCCCTGGAATATCATCTCGCACCCCTGGTTGGGAACCCCTGCTCTATCTCTATCGCTCAGAAATTCCTATTAATGTCCCTACGTACCATTTTTGACAGCTTCAAGCCAGGCTGCTACCACTTGGTGCGGGATCAGGGATGACAAAATCTCTTTGGCCATCAATGAGCCCAAAAGGTTCAGGGCAGACATGGCAGAGGTGGGGCACTGCCCTTGACATGAGCTCCCCTCCACAAGCAGAAAGATGGTATACCTGGAATCAAAGAAGAAACAAAGGTGGCCGATAGGCAGAGTGACCCTATTTTCCTGGAATTACTTCCTCCATCTATCACCCAAATGCCTGTCCTTCCAACCGTTGGAGCAGCCAGAGCAATGGGGTTTTCCACCCATATTCCGAGAAGATTTCTGTAGGCTGATATGCAATGCTGTCTCCCCACAGAGATGAAATTTCGTAACATTTTGCAGAACTTGGAAAACCTTATAAAGATTTATCTATTTATAAAGAGCATTGCTCTTTATAAAGGATTGAGAATGATGAGATCCTGAAAGGAATGTTGACATGAACTTTATCGTAATCGCATCTAGCTAGGACAGGGGTAGGCAACCTTGGCTCTTTTATGACTCGTGGACTTCAACTCCCAGAATTCCTGAGCCAGCATGGCTCAGCTTGGAAACCTCTCCCTTTCCCCTCAGCATGGCTGGCTCAGGAATTCTGGGAGTTGAAGTCCACGAGTCATAAAAGAGCCAAGGTTGCCTACCCCTGAGCTAGGACTTAAGGACACAGTTTGATCA